GCCGACTTCCGCTCTCTCGGCGCATTCCGTATAGCTTTATACGCGTCAAGATAGTCGTCACACGGTTGTTTCGGTACCTATTATATTTGACAGTCGACATTGTTTCGGGTTTTTCTTTTTCAATTACGTACTTTCCACACGCGTCACAGGTGCATTATTCAAAAGGTATGATATTTTGTATTAGTTGATTTTTATGTTGATTATATTATATTTATTATATATTATAATTTGTAAGTATTATAGTGTTAGTATTTATATTATAAGTATTATATTATATTGATTATATTAGGTAATATAATACTATATTTGTTATAACATAGGRCATAATGAATACAGAACAAATTACTGGATGGTTAGAAGAGAATATAAGTGAGGATGTAGATTTGTTAGAGTTTGATGACGGGAATGAATCAGATAAAAGTAACAATGAATTCGTTGAGAACACTAATCATAACTCAAGTTCTGAGGAATCTGATGAGGAATGTGTAGAAAATTTAAATTTATAGTTATCGGGTCCACAGTACGTGAGCAAAGATAAAAAATCTTATTGGAATATGCATCAACCTCCTAAAAATACCCGCACAAGGTCACATAATATAATTAGACAGCTGCCGGGTGTAAAAAAAAATGCTCAAAATGCTAAAACTATAGAAGATGCGTGGACATTATTTTTTCCTGTTAATATGCTAGAACAAATTGTCAAATACACTAATAAACGATTAGATAAGTTTAGATCTAGCTACGCTAGAGAAAGAGATGTTCTTCCAACTAATTTGATTGAAATAAAGTCAGTTATTGGCCTTTTATATCTTGCTGGAGTGAAGAAATCTGCGCACATAAATTTAGATGAATTTTGGCACACTGATGGCACGGGCATAGAACTTTTTCGATTAGTTATGTCTTTACGTAGATTTCGTCTTCTTTTGCGCGCATTACGTTTTGATGACTCTGATACACGTGAAGATCGAAAAAAACTTGATAAATTGGCACCAATCAGGGAAGTGTTTGATGGATTTATTGATAGGTCTAAAAATTACTACAATCTTAGTTCAAATGTAACTATAGATGAAATGTTAGAAAGTTTTCGTGGGCGTTGTTCTTTTCGTCAATATATGCCAAACCAGGGCTTGGAACCTTTATGATTTTWTCGGTTTCGGTTCCAATTCGGTTCTTCAAAAAAATAAAAATTYGGTACCGGTTTCGGTTCCGGTTCTTAAAATTACAGAATTAAGGTTTCGGTTCTGGTACCGGTTAATACCGGTATTTAGAGGTTAATTTTTTTTTTCAAAAAGTAAAAAAAAACAAGTATA